ATTAAATAATAATAATAATAATAATAATAATAATAATAATAATAATGATAATAATAATAAATAATAATAATAAATAATAATAATCAATAAATAATAATAATATTTTGAATAAAAAGGAGAATAGGGGGATAAGTTGGATAAACAGGAGAATAAGAGGGAAAGACGGATAAACAGGAGAAAAAGAGGAGATGTCAGATAAACAGGGGAAAAGGAAAAATTGGATAAATGGGGGAATAAGACGAAAAGGCGGATAAACAGGAGAATAAGAGATAATGTCCGATAAATATCAGAATTAAGAAAATGTTGAGTAAATATGAAAACAGAGAAGTATTTCAATAAATATGAGAATTAAGATAAAGTCAAGTAAATAAAAGAATAAGGAAAAGTTGGTTAAACAGGAGAATAAGAGATAAATGTTCGATAAATATCAGAATTAAGAAAATAGATAAGTTCAATAAATATGAGAATAACACAATGTCAAATAAATATGAGAATAATGGAAAAGTCAATAAACATGAGAATAAGTGAAAAAGACAAATAAACAAGACAATAAGAGAAAAAGTCAAATAAATTAGGGAATAGGTGAGATAACCGATAAATATCAGAACTGAGAGAATGTCAAATAAATATGAGAATAGAGACAAATCCAAATAAACATGAGAATAAGAAGAAATGATTAATAAATACGAGAATAGGAGTAAGAACGATAAATATGCTAAGAAAAAGCTAAATCACAGACTAAGACGAAGACAAATTAGAAACAAACTCTCAGAAAATGTGTAAATACGAATCCTCGACGAAAGAGGGAACTGAAAAACGCGCTAAGAAAGGCAGGAATAATCGAGATTCCCAATAACGAATGGGGGGAAGGCGCAATCCCCGATAACGACGGGATAAACGCAAAAACACACGGATCAGCACACTCCCGGACACAAGACAGATTAAAATCACTCACAACACCACAAAATTTCCGTCAAATTTACCTTTTCTTTCGCCCGTCCTGCATGTTTCTGAACGGTTTTCGCAAAGAGCCCTCCCTTCACGTCCGCCATCCTTGACGTCTGGCGCGGCACTGTCGAGA